GCTGCTACTATTCAATTCGGATGCCTCTTGTTTGATAATACTATTTTTTGTGCTGTTTTAATAAAGGTGAAATGTAACAAAATGTTAGCCTAAAATAAGCAATAACATTCTCTCACAATGCTAATGCTTTAAGAAAATATCCAACTCCGGTCTCACTCCACATATCTAGGTGTCACAACCATCATCTCAGAGTAAATTAAAAATCTGGTTCTACAACAAAATAACTACAAATGCTTCATCTTGGATGCCTTCTTCTCAGCTTCATGTCCAGCTTCAGCCGCCTCTTTCTTCACTTCCTTAGCTTCAAACGACCCTTGCTTGCCTCCCTTCTTGTCAGCCTTTTCTGTTTTTTCAAATGCCTCTTCCTTCGCTGCCTTGATTCCCTTTTCAACATGTCCTTCCTTCTTCTCTTGTGCAGCTCCAGCCTTCACCTCGTGCTTCTCACCCTTCTCACCTGATTTGGCTGCCTTGGCAAAGTCGTTCTTTTCTCCCTTGAAGGCTTTCTCCAGGCCTTCATCGAGTTCGTCGTCGAAAATCTCTTCGGTTTTTGTGTTTTCGTCGATTTGTTTGGTGGTCTTGAAGCCGCGGATCACGTGGTTTTTCTTGTGCCCCTTTTTCGCCTTGGCTTCTCCTTTCTTGGCACCTACAAAATAGTTAAGTGAATATTGACTTCGAAAATCAAATTTTGGAGGCCTCAATCAAGTTGATGTCGGTATCAATATGGAAAAATTTGTTTGATTTGATGTAAACATATTATTTAGCGTTCCAACAAAAATAAAAAAGTCCGGTAGTAACACATAGACTATGAATATATACAATAAATTTTTAGATACTCAATTTTACCTCCCACTCCACTGGCGCAGAACTATTGTAATCCTTGAAAAATTTCAAAATGACGTATTATATTTTTTGGATGTAATGACACCACTTAACCAGGTTACGCATTTCCGTCGGTATGTCTGTCTGTAAGTCTGTCGAACTATCTGTCCGCTAATCCTTGGTACGTGTATAGTTTGTAAAGTAACGTTTGGTTATATATGCAATTTACCCGCAGTGTTAGAAGTATGCTAATGACGAAAGAGGTTCTGAAAATAGATCCAGCTAGAAAGAATCCCTTAGAATTCATTTTCTGACATTTCGGGGCTCGTTATCACTTTTAGAGAAATTTTTGTAGGGGCTTAAGATTGGGCGTTGTAAGAGATGCGGAGGTTATCTAATCCTTATTTTACGCAACTGTTAGACGATAGGTTCCCCAGTACATTTGCCCTTAATACACTCGCATCTGTGGATATACCGGCATCAACGTCTAACCAACGGGTGTATATGCTTCGTGGTGGCTCCCATTCTATCGTGTCCGCCGACTGGTGATTGGCAAGGGTTAGTCACAGCAGCGTTGTTATAACGTAGGTGCTGTCGTGGAGCGGGAAGAAATTTATAGAAACCAAACCTCGTCTGTATGGACCTTTTTGACTGACTTGACCTACTTAATGTGCTTTCCATTTGTGTCTCAGAGGGGCCAACTTGTTGCGAACACAATCCTTTGTGAACTGATGACAGCGTTGCATGGGAAGTGCAAAGTCAACTTAATTAACGCCAGTTTTTTCTTTCTGTTCCTCAACACAATCATGACAAATAAAAGACATATCTAATGAAGAGCAATACTTCTGAAAAAGCTTAATGACGGCTGGAGCGAGGCTTATAAAGTGTTAACACAATACTGTTAAGCTCAAGCAGCATGAAGTTACAGATGCTGATAGAGTTTGACCTGGTTAAGATCGGTAAAATGAGCAGAACTTCTCAACAAACATCTTAAGGCTAGTTATTCTAACAGACCTAGAAAGAACAGAGATTATGACGGAATGCAAATAATTTTTAATTTCGTTCACCTTCTTTGCCTTCAATCTGCTTCCCCTGGTAACTAAGGGCATCACTAACTAGCTGTTTCTTCTGTCCGCCTGAACTGTACTCTCCAGAGTCGCCCTTGGCTTCTTTTGCTACAGCTGACCCCTTTTTTTCTGTAGCCTTCTCAATTCCCAGCTCCGAAGATTTCTTATCGAGTCCCTTTTTGAACAAAATGCCTTTGAGGGCTTTATGATCTTTCTTGAAAGCTTCTTCTGCCTCTCCGGATTCTCCAAGGGTCTTCAGACTAGCCATGCTGCCCAAACCTTATAGACAAAAACACAATTATATTAAGTAACTACATACATAAAGGTGAATAAATTGTGCCTTGATGTGTTTCTATGAAACGTTTTCGTCAACTGTAATCTCCATTTCATAAGATACAGTCGCCTGATAACATTTGTATAAAACAGTAAGGTACTGGATACAAGTGATTATAATCCTCAAATTAAGTAAATGTTATTAATTTGCCAAAGCGTTGGTGTCATATTACCCAATTTTCTTCTTCAACCATTTTATTGGAATCTCCAAAAAATGAGGTAAATATTGAAGCTATAACAAACATCAAAATCAGTTACGCGTTACACAATACTTAATAGCATCGTTACACTAAACTTACTTCCAAAGTTGAATCCAGTCAAATCCATGTCCATATCCAAGAAGTGACCTCCCATTATATCCAAGTCACCCCTCACACTCGCACTTAGAAAGCACGCCGCCCCAAAAAGCAAGAGCAATGATGTTGACATTGACGGCATCTTTGAAATACTGTTTTTTTGTTAGGTGTATTTTGGAGCTTTATACCAAGCAATATACGCATGTTAAATTTGCTAATTGAACAATGCTCATTATTTATTCTATTTCGATATGGTAAGAACAGTTCTTTAATCAATTAGGCAATGCGAAGAGTCGATGAGGTACCTTGTAGTGGTATTCACGGTTTTAGCAGGACAGAAATGGTAGAAGGACCGGTGTCCCCGTGACATTTCTTGAATTGTAACGGTACCGATATTCAGAGAAAAGTAACCTTATTGAAATAAGACAGGACAAAATACCATCCATTAACAGAACTGAATTCTACTTGTAAACGGTACCGATATTTCGAGAAAAGTAACCTTATTGAAATGAGACAGGAGAAAATGCCATCTATTAACAGAACTAACCAATGCGATAATGAAAATAACAAGCTGTCATGACACGTTCAATGCCCATGCTGAAAGCTGTGAGTCAGTCCCCCATCATGCTCTGTTGGTTGTAAAATGCCTAGATAGTCTGTAGAGTTTACTCTCAAAAGGTGAAAAGATGTGTGGTGTGGACATTTGCTATCTGAGAAAATTATTACTGAATTTGCTGCCCATCAAATATATCTATGTATAGCTGTGCCAGGCGTGTTATTTGTGTTGTCCTTTCCGAAGAGTGGTGATGTGAGGTGATGATTTTCCCCGTTTTTTTTTTATTTGCACAAACTTTCAAAAGCATTACGGCAAATCAGCACCGCAACCACATTTTCGCACTGCCTCACTTCTAGCCGGTCATTTCTAAATCGTAAAATATATTTCTATTAAATATATATGACTGGAAATAGAAATGTGAAGTGTAATAACTTTTTTACGTTTCATAAATATTCCTGTATTCACTATATTTTGTCACCTGTTAGTTTTAATCTACTTCACCAACGGATCACTTTAGGTCTATTTAATATCATTAACACGCAAAAAGAAGGCGGAAGTCGACTGATGTGGTACCACCCGCTAGCTTTTCCCGTCGAGTCCAGAAACAAATAAACGGTGTCTCATAAATATTTTCTTATTTTATGCCATAAATAAAAATACTAGAATATTTTTACAAAGATAAATTTATTACCAAACGAAAGCCTAAACATTAATTTTATTTATGGAAAAGAGTATCGGATAAATGAGCACCGTTCATGTTTTCACACTCTCTTAATCTCGAACTGAAGTTTTCGATCACTCTCCGAAGCATTGCTCGAGGAATGGCGTTTATTTTATCTGTTATTTTTTGCTTCAACTCTCTCAAATCTTGTGGCGGTGGGGTGTATACCTTACTCTTCAGGTATCCCCATAAGAAAAAATCTGCTGGTGTCAAATCGGGACTTCTCGGTGGCCAGTTAATGTCTCCTCTGCGACTGATGACCCTCTCTGGGAATAACTGATGAAGAGCATCCAAGGATTCATTCGTGACATGAGAAGTCGCTCCATCTTGCTGGAAAAACGTGTTTCTATTGTAGCCACCATGGTTCTGTATAGCTGGAGTTAAAAAAGTCCTAATCATGTGGCAGTAGCGCTCAGATGTTACAGTTTGAGCTTGGCCACGATTGTCTTCAAAAAAATACGGGCCAATGATTCCTTGCCCTGACATAGCAGCCCAGACGATAACTTTAGGCGAGTGTAATGGCGTCTCATGAAGATTTTGCGGGTTCTGCTCGGCCCAATATCGGCAGTTTTGTTTATTAACATGCCCGTTAATGTGAAAATTCGATTCATCAGAAAACCATATGTTGTTGTAATCGTTAAAATGCTCTCTCATTGTTCTACAGAACTCTAATCAATTAGCGGGATCTTGTGGTTTTAATTGTTGTGTAACAACAATCTTGTATGGGTGAAAATGCAAATCCTTGCGAATAATGCGATGAACAGTTGACTTATGCAAAGTTAGAGACGCTCCACGCAGTCTTAATGATTGCCGGGGATCCTCGTTAACGGACTGGCGCACACGTTCAATATTTTCGTTCGATCTTGCTGACCTTGGCCGTCCAGGCGGTTTACTAATACACGTGTTTCCAGTGCTCTCGAACTTTCTTACAAAATATTTAATTAAATTTGCGCTTGGGACATCTCTCATTCTTGCTATGTTATAATGATTTCTGTACAAACGACGTACAAGCACATAAGAATCCTTGTTTTTATAGAACTCGCGAACACAAAAAGCACGTTGCGGCCCCGTAAAACGCTCCATTGCAACTAAAATTTAACAATGTTGCCAAACGTTTGTCAACTGTCTCGTTTCTCCGGAGCATGCGTATTCCGCCAGAGGACTGATCTAAAAACGAAAATATTTCTGAGACACCCCTTATAACGAAGCGGTTCGCAATGCCAAAAACCAGCACAATATAGAAGTTAGGCACAGGGTAATGTCGCAGCGCAATGGCAGTCGGTCTTTCTGGACGCTGGTCAAGCAGATTGAAAAAAACTACTCACACAGTAGCCTTCCACCATTTTCGTGCCAGGATGGAACGATTGTATCCGACTCAAAGGCAAGGCGGAAGTGCTAGCCAAGATCTTTGCTGCCAACTCCACCATGGACGTCCCCACCAACGCCCAGGTGAAGTCGATTCAAAGGGTTCCCTACACTATGCGGGAGGTAACACTTAGGAATAAGACCGTAAGACGAGTACTTTTGTTGCTCGAAATCAACAAGGCATCTGGTCAGGACATGATTCCTGCCATTGTGCTGAAGAGGTGTGCAGCAGAGCTTGCTCCAGTTCTTTCGCGTTTCTTCCAGATATCTTATGAATCCGGCACCTTCCCAGAAAACTGCAAATTTGCTCATGTCCAACCCATCCCACAAAAAAGAATCTAAGATCGACCCGTACAACTAAAGGGACATATCTGCTTTCTGTTATACGTAAGGTGATGAAGAGGTGCATAAATCGCGAGCTCCTGAACTACCTCGAACGCCACAGCTTGATTAGCGACAGGCAATATGGTTTCCGGCACCAGCGATCCACAGGGGACCTCCTAGCTTACGTCACGCAATTGTGGGGTAAACTCATCCAGTCTTATGGTGAGGCTCATGTCGTTGCTCTTTGCATCAGAAAAGCGTACGATCAGCTATGGCACGCTGCCCTCTTAAGCAAACTTCCATCCTATGGCCTCCCAGAAAAGCTTTGCAGATGGGTGACTTTATCTCTGGCCGCAAGATATCCGTCGTAATTGGCGGGTTCTCCTCTTCATCCCACAACGTCAACGCTGGTGTTCCCCAGTGATCGGTCTTAGCTCCGACACTGTTCCTCTTACATATCAGCGACCTCCTCTCCTGTGCGGTTAACCCAATCCACAGCTTCGCTGATGGCAGCACTCTACATGCAGGAATTCAGACTGACAAGCCGATCTCTGCCGCTGAGCTGGAAAAAAAAGACTAGCGACGACTTTCTATCTGACAAGAGACCTGGAGGCTATCGCTGCTTGGGGACGCAACAATCTTGTACAGTTTAATGCTTCCAAAACACAGTATTGTACTTTGACGAACAAAAAGCGTCCTAGCGCTCATCCGGTTTCGATGGATGGCCGAGTTCTGCCAAAGAGCCATTCATTTCGGCTGGTCGAAGTCCAGATCACCGAGGACCTGATCTGGCACGAACACATCTCGTCAATAGCGGCAGCTGCTGGGAACAAACTAAGATATTTGTTTAGGGCTGAGAAGTACTTTTCTCCGCATGACCTTCTCACTCTATACAAAGGCCAGATAAGGTCTAGCCTCGAGTATTCCTCACACGTTTGGCGTGCTGCCGCCCCGACTACATTATTCATGCTCGATGCTGCCCAGAGGAGGGCCGTCCGACTGATCGATGACTCTTCGCTAACAGACAGTCTCGGGACTCTTTCGCACCGGCGGGACGTCGGCCATCTAGCTCTTTTCTACCACTACACCAACGGGCATTGCTCCTCAGAGCTCTCTTCCATAGTGCCGCTGCGCGTTGTGCCTGCCAGACAGGCCCGCCTAACTTTGGCGTCCCATCCTGACCGTGTCGAACTTCGTACATCCAGAACTGGCCGGTACGACCGCTCCTTTCTCCCGCCGAGATTGTGGAACAATCTACAAGAGGAACCTTTTCCCAGTTCTACTAACCTGAGGCAGTTCAAAGGTCGTATTATCAAAATTTCTTTGGGATCATCATACTATAGCAGCCGCGGTGTTCCGGCATTTAGGCTTCTGCCTGCGCGGCTGCTTTGATATAAAAAAAACGGAAGTCAATCAAGAATAATACAGAAAATAAAGAGAGAAGTGGATAACCATTGTAAGCACTAGTGCAATGTTAGAATAGATTTTGATCATCTCAAAAGGACAGAGGTTTGGTGAGTTGAAGCCTGAGGTTCGTGGAGAGTTGTGGCCTCAACTGTTAGTAGTTTGTAGGATCTTACAGCACATGGCTCGTTTGCACTTCTGAGCTAAAAAACACCTCGGCGAACATACAGACTGTGGTGTGATAGGTACTTATGTCAAATCAAACCACAGAAATAGAATTAAAAGTTTACTGACATTCCAGCCATCACGTAGAAGATTGATGAACAATTTGTCCTTGAATTTGTCCAAAGACCAAACCCTAAAGTACTGTCAGAATCAGTGACATCACGCAGTTGCCGGATGGCTATTTCAAATAAGCCGATCCCAGAAACTGTTTAGGAACTTGATTTTTACATCCCTCAAGCTAAGCATAAGCCACGGACATACTAGGGCAGTTGATTTGCAATTTAGTTCAGATTCGATATTATCGGATTTCTTATGACATGGTGGTGCTTTATCCATATCCTGATTGAAGATATGTAACGGCAAATATGTTACCGCCAATAAATGGAAGCGTCACTTTGAAAAAGTCAATCGAAAAGTTAGCTAGCTCGAAAAAGTTCCCTCGCGCTTGCTAGGAACGCCACCTATGGAGGAATAGTACAATGACCTTACAGCCTAGGCGATGGAAGCTGTGAAGGGCTTACGCTAGTGCCATCTCTGAAGCAGACGTTACATCATATCAGAGCCACAGGACATAGCTCGAGTTTCTCGACGTTTATTCAACACACACAGCTACTACAAGTGAAAATGAAGAAAATGACAGTGAGAATTATAGTAATCAGATCAGTTACATCATAATGGTACCAGAAGTTCAAACAATTTTACACCTGCAGTTGGCGTATGATCAATGAGCACCCCTGAGTGGCACCTATCAGGATACTGAACCCTAATTCATATATTACTGAAACAGGAGTGGTTCTACCTAGAAAAAGCAAAGGTTTTTCATGACTAGAAGAAACTTACACCTAATTTCCATTGAGCGTCGGATCTTTCGTACATACATGACAAGGACAAAAGTGTGGCGTAAATCGACAGAAATAATGACCTTGTACTGCCGGTAAAACAATGATTGAAAGCACAAAACATGTTTATGAATATGTATGTATTTGCTCACAGGTGTATATTACAATGCTGAGAAAATATGCATTTCTTGAAGAGTTTCAGATAATTCACACGATGTATCCCATGATATATGCAGGAATGCAATAAATGCAATGTCCATAGTACGAAGATAAAAGAGATGGATGAATGATAATTTAGGTGATTTTTCCGAGCAAAAGCTACGATTTGTGTCAGGGTTCAATCCAAATCAAGTCTTCAGACAAATCGAAACGAATGGGTTACAGGGAAAGTTCTATAGTCCATCAAAATGATCTCACAAGACGACGAGCCTATTACGACTGCATCAGAAGTCAGACTTACACTTTCTTAAACATTTCCAGTTTTATCATTCGAATGATTATTGACACGTTGTAGATTGATTAAGTAGCTACTCTCTTAGCCACTTCTATTAAAAAACTTGATAACAATATCCTGCTACAAAGTTTATGTTGTAAGTAAATAAATAGTACAACTAAAAGTAATTACAATAGCAGCAGTCCACATCATACCTGTTAAGATGTATGGTCATTGAAATGCATCTAATTTCGACCAAGTCGAGCCGTAATTCCAGCTTATTAGCATTTCATGCGGAATAAACGATTGTTTATTGAGTAGTTTTGTTCTATTAACCGCATAAAGGCGATAGAAGGTCGACAGTTTCATGGAAATATTCCTAGTCACTTATTCGCATAACCACCAAAATCATATAAAAGTGACTAAATCTGCGCTAACAAGGCATCGATAAATGTGTGGAAGATGATAGTCCAGTCTGATTAATGTTCATTTTCACAATTCGTTAAATAAGGACTTGGTATAATAAGGTTCGATCTTAGTTTCTTATCACAATTGCCTAGCTAGACTGCGTTTACAAAATATTAAGTTGTACATGAAAATAGCCAACCTAATACGATATTCCCGCCTCCAAAAAGTTATCCGACATGCAACGAAATACCGAAACGACGTGTATGACATTTTTCCACAGCTATGCCTCTCCTCTCCGTATCAATTTGAAAAGGTTTGAACCTCATAGATGACATTATAGCCAAATATCTGCTATATAATAATAATTAGTGTGGAGATAAGAAATGTACGAGGGTGGGACGATAAGTACTTAGCATACATAAGAAAAACGAAAATTTTGAAAAAGTGGTGAATTATTTCTCAGGAAAGCCTTTCTTTATCTTGATACACTTGACCCAGCGAGGCTCCAACTTCTTTAACCCGTCTAAAAAAAACTTTTCTGGTGGTGTGTGACTTGTGTTTGTTTGGAAATAAAAAGAAGTCGAATGAGGCCAAATATGGACAATACGACAGATGGGGCAGCAGTTTCTGACCGAATCTGTCCAATTTGGCCATGGCGACTGCAGAGGTGTGAGCCGGTGCATTGTCATAGTGAAAGAGCACATTTTCTTCACCAATTGGGGCCGTTTTTTCTGCAATCCGGCGTCGAATCGACCCAATAATTAGGCCTAGTAGAGCCCTGAGGACGTATTGCCAAGTAGTCTCAGTAGAGCTCACCTTGTGACTCCCATAAAACGGTGGTCATCACCTTTCCGGCCGATAGGACAGTCTTCGCCTTTTTCGGAGCACGTTTGCCGGGTGAAGTCTTTCTTTGCGACTGTTACTTGTTATCTAGTGTGTACCAGTGGATCCATGTTTCATCAAAGGTCACGAAGCAACCCAGAAACTGTTTCGAATTGCTCTTAGACACTGTTCTAAGGTGATCTGCGGAACCCATCTCACAGACAGCTTTGTCATGTCCAATATTTCGTTCAAGACATGAGCCACGCGATCTTTTGAGATGCCTACTGTCTCAGCTATTTCCCGCGCCTTCAATCGGCCGTCTACCAATATGATATCGTGGATTTTTCTTGCGTTATTCTCCGTGGGACACCTGGGCGAGGCTTATCAAAACCGGCGTGCATCCGCGTTGAGACTCGTTAAACCGATTTTTGCTGGTCGCCATCGAAGGAGAAGGATCACCCTACACAGCATCCAAGCGCTCTTTGATTTGGCTGTGCGATTTCGCTTCCAAAAGCAGAATCACCGACAGATATTGCGGTCAAAACAAAACAACGAGTCCGATTCGGCTTGACAGTAGCCATCTACAAGAATGCTACATGGAAGTACATTTCTCTTGCGATAGTGGCGCCATCGGGCCATTAGGATAAGTATAATACTTATCGGGCAGCCCTGGTAGCTGTGACAAATTATCGTAGACGTCGATACGGTGTAGAGATACCGTCACTTCGGGTATTTTTCTGGACCCGATAGTATAGCGTTAGGTTGGCTATCTTCTCGCTGCTCTTTAAAATCTACCTAGAGGGGGCCTTGAAATCTTGGAAGAAGTTTCGCAGCATGAGTTTGCCAATTGGGGATATAATGATATACACGCTGTTATTTGCCGACGACTAGGTACTGATAGCAGGAGACCAGGAAAATTCTAGTTACGAGTACATGTTACGAAAACTGCAGGAGGAATACAATAAGTGGGGTCTGACGATAAATATGCAGAAGTCTGAGTATATGGTGGTAGGAACTGACGAAGCTGATGGCCTAGATATTGGGAATGCCTTTGTCAAAAGTTGCAACACATTTAAATACCTAGCGGTAACTCTAGCATCTAATGGGAAAAGCAACGCTGATGTAGCAAACAAAATATCCCAGGGAAGAAGAGCGATACGTCAACTAAACTCGCTCCTATGGAGCGACAAAATAACAAAAGGAAATAAACAAAGCCATAATCGTTCAATTGTGGAAAGTATCAGCACTTACGGAGCAGAAACTTGGGAGCCAAATAAAAAAGAAAAGAACAGACTTCTGTCCCTTGAAATGGACTTCTGGAGAAGAAGCAGCAGACCGTCAAAGCTAGACCATATACGTAATGAACGAATAAGAGAAAATATGGTCGTAAATGGAACTATACTTGATACGATAGAATCAAAGCGGCTAGCTTGGTACGGTCATCTAGAAAGAATGAACCATAACAGATGGCCCAAAAGAGTATGGGAGTGGACCCCACCGGGAAGCAGGAAATGCAGCAGACCCCCCCCCCCCCCCGAAGCTGGAAGGACGATGTAACAGAAGCCATGGCTTCCAGAGGACTTCGAGAGGGCGACTGATGGGACCGCGACCTATGGAGGTTGAGAAGCGAGAAACGACGACAGTCGTAACAAACTCGCGTTTATATATACAGGGTGACTTTGAAGTTGAGTCATTAATTTTCAGATAATGATTGTAGAAGGAAGATAAACCAGAATATGTGTGTAAAAATAAAAATGTTTACCTTGTTCTATAAAGTATCCTCCCGACAAGTATTTCAGTGCGGACCTGTATTTGATCGTGAGGTCTTGGAGCACCGGCATGCCGTCCCCTGTGAGGTCTTAAGTCACCTGATTCACGAACCCGTTGTACTACATTAACAAAGGCACGAGGGGTTGGTTGCACTCGATTGGGAAACCGATCCGCATAAAGATTTGCCATTTTTTATTTCGTTTGAGCCACGCAACAGACACCACTATTCACTCACGCGTTACCGACTGACACTGACTGTATATGTATACAACTGAATAAAATAATTGTAAAAACATCGTTTCAAATTCTTTCGCTTTTTTGTTTCCGATGCGATGAACCGATAAGGCGAATTATATCCGTTGTTGCCAAACACATATTATTATTGAGACAGGGCGGTACTCAAACTTCCAAAGGGCTATAACTTTGTTACTTTAATTTTACCAGAAAAATGGTAAAGGAAAAAAACATTTCTTTTGATCAGATCTACTCACTGTTAAAATAAATGACTCAACTTCGAAGTCACCCTCTATATTGGCTATGTTCATCGTTTATATGTCGAACTGATATTGTGCTTTTTTATCCATGAGTGACAAGAATTCCAATAAAAACGAATCCTG